GGTATTAAGAATTTGAAACTCCCACTTCAAGATTTCATATTATTTCTCTAGTTTAACAGAGTCATTCATCACCCTTTATCCAGTCTGAAGCTTTTTAATACAGAATGTTAAATACAAAGGGCTCATTTGGAGACCTTTTCGTTCCCTTTTTTATTCTTCTTCTTGCTCTTCACTTAGTTAATGGAAGCTGTTGCTGCAGAGTTAGGTATGACGATGTCAGTGAATTACACTCTTCTAGCACAGGCTTCCCCAGGGAGAGACCGAGCTGGTGCTCGGAGAGTTTTTGTTCAATTCTCTTTAATATAACTGCTATGGTAGTGGTTTTGTAAGCTCCCTATCTCATTACGAAAGTCAGAGGTTTCTGGAAGTACTTACAGCTGTGATCTGGCATTTGCTGCTTTGCAAAACTCCTCTATAAAAGCAGTGCCTGAGAGTCAAGAAGGATACTACATATAATTGTTAATGCTAGATGAAGAAAATTACGATTTTTTTCTGCACAAAATGAATTACCCAATTACTTTCCGACCGAATTAAGTCGTAGCTTTAGAAAAAGATCAAGAAAGGAGAAAAACAATGTTGCCCTGCAACATTAGTGTGTTCACGCATCGTTTTTTGAGACAGCAGGAAGCAGACTTTGTTGTAAAATGAATACTCTTTCTCTGTGAAGTTTTGATTAAAGTGAAAAAATGCTTAGAGAAAATGTGTGATTTTTGATGGAAAAACAGCTTTCATATTTTGGCTGAAAATCTTCAAAGATGTTTGGTTATTGCTGTTTTCTCCAGAGGAAAATTTCTCATTTTGGGAAGAAAAGCATCTGTATGTTTTCTGTCCAAAAGTGTTAAAGGAATCCTTAAAGGAAGCCTGCTATAGCTTTGATAACAGTCGATAGTGTCTCTGGACACAGTATCTTTACAAAGTCCCTGGAACACAAAGGCTTTATAGTTTCCTAGGTGTGGGTACCATGTTACCACGTTTCCATAATATTTTTGCATCATTCATTAATGTAGGTGTTAATTGTGAGGGAAATGTCAACAAAATTCCCTGCTTATTACTTCCCCATTTGGCAATTTTACTAAAAGTTGATCAGAAGCACAGCTAAAATAGCAGACCTTCCACCATGCCCTGAACTTCATCAAAGTCTGCTTCCAGCCAACGGGTCACTGGGTGGGCCTGGGTCCTGTGATGAGGCACATGCTATTCCAGGGAATTCATCCACTTCCTTAAGTACAGTGATCCCAAGGTAATGGCCTTGGGAGAGGGGCGCATGTGGCTGCTGTAAGGGACCAAAGTGAAAGGTGCCTGTAAAGGACCTTTGACTAAAATTATAAAATGTGGCAACACCAAGATAGAGCATCTCAGAAAGCCTTTGTATGTGACCACTGGTCGCACTTGACAGTGCATGCAAGTTACCTGTTGGGAAAGACTGCTGTTTGCCAGTTCCCTTTGTGCTGCGGGGAAAAATGCATCACCCTTCTCTTTAACGGTGCTCCAAAGCCAGCTCTTTTAGGTACCTTTATAGGTGGATGTCAGGCATGTGTACATTACTCCTTCAGAGCCTGGTGAGTGGCTTTTTAACTTCTTCCTGTTGTGCAGTGGGACTGCAGGAGAGAAGCTCAGGAATCTCTTTCTAGAGGTAGAATTTTTTATTAGGTGCTAATGGCTCCTCTTCTACTCTGGGAGATCTGTGTCAGCAAACCAGGCTCTGGGGATATAACTTGATACAGTATTTTGAGTCCTAACAAGCAAGGCACCTCCGAGGCAGCAGGGTAAATGCTGCCTCAGCAGCAGGGAGCACAGCATTGTAAATGGGTACCGTAAGGTGCGTTTACTGTGATACTGATAGAGCTAGAGAAGTTAAAAGAAGTTACAAAACAGAAGAGCACTTTTAATGGAAAAACTAAACAATTTTTAAATATTAAAAAATAAAAGTGCTTACAAACAGGACTGCAGGGTCCGTCATATATTAATACAAGGAGAAAAGGGCATATGGGTATGTTGCAGGTGATGGTGATTCCTTTTGCTGAAGCACCTTGTCTGAGCCCAGAGCAGAAAGACACTGCAAACATTACTTAGTGATTTTAGTAGTTTTCTATCATGCACTCTGTTAGAATAACAAACCGTCTGGACGCTGTGGGTTGTACAGAGGAGAAGAGATAGATATGAAGGGCATGGGCAAGGGACCAAGCCTGGGGAGCGGGCAGAGGGGGAAGGGAGGGCCAGCTGGTGAGTGCGATGCAGGCCGTAACCAAGACAGAACACCTTTTCAGGGAGCTGAGCTGGAAGGTTGCAGGAGCAGGCAGAACAGAACTAGGCTGCTGGGTGGTGAACCTGCCGTTGCTGTAGCCTGAGTGTTTGGCAAAGTTAATTATTGTTGCTCACTCTCATGAACACTGTGTCCTAAAGCCTATCTTTTTCTTCACCCCTTCTGTGCCCAGCTGTCGAATTGCATTGCTAATGGATCCTCAAAGAGTTGTCATTGGACAAAAAAGGATATTTGACTCTTAAATGGAAGTGGTCTTCAACAAGGCACACTTTTGACTCTTTAAAATTGCAGGTCCTTGATATTCCTAAGGGTAGGAGAGCTGGAGCAGAGAACATCCTCAGAAGAGGCGCAGTGGTTTGCATAGCTGAATTGTGATTTAATTATTCTTATTCCCTTTCTTCTACTTTTTTTCCAGTTAGGGAAATAGAGATTTCACAGTCTGTAAATTATATGCCTGACGGAATTCTGCTTTAGTTACTCCCTTCTGTTTGTTTAAAAATACCAAGAGACCCCTCATTTCCCTCCCAGATGGTCTGTATTTATTATATCAGGTCTACATTTATAGCCAGGGAAACTCAGTGGAAGAGCTAAGGTGTGATGGTGCACCATCTTTCCCCTGCTGATCAAAATGAGATATATATATATATATATTCTCCCTGCTGATCACTTTGCTGCTTAATCCACTAGATCACTTCATGAGGTAGTGAACATGTTACAGGTACTTCTCTCTGGAAGTTCTCGCGGGATTCTTTGTGGAACAGTCGCTGCAGTTGGGGAAGAACGATATCTCAGCTGTCTGTTAGAGCAGAGAGCTGCTCCTGCTTCTGGGATCCAAAAAGGGGCCATCACATTGTGCATTCTTCTGGGAGATCCAACTCCCCCCAGATGGATGCTAAAATAATTTAATTTTAAAGAGTTGCAAGGTATTTAAGGTGTATATACCAGCCATGGGTTTCCTGTATGTGAATGTGTTAGAAGTGAAAGATGCAAGTCATTTTTGATGTCACATTCACGTTTGGGGTGGGGGGGGGGGGAGAATAAAAAGGTGGCAATCCATTGGTTTGTTTCTCTTATTGCCACCAGCTGGGGATGATGAGTTATTATAAGGGGTGAAAGGGAGGATGAGGGAATGGGGAAGCTTCATCCAGTCACTTAGGGTATCTGTCAGAAACCTGAGGTGGGACAAGCCTTTTTCCTGTTCTGAATTAGAATAGTTGTGTTTCTCTTCTGGCTCTTAGGTTTTGAAATCTATGACACTGTGAACAAGGAGCAGCAGCTGAAGCGAGCCCTGGCAGAGATAAGGATGCAGTATTAAAGGGAAGCAAACCTACTTGTTAATGTTATTTTGACTGCTTCAGGTGTATTGCTTGGCTCAACACCCCAAGACCTTAGTACCATACATGCATAGATTAAGAGTCACCCTCTGGCCAGATGTAGTTGTATCTTGGCTCCCCAAGTTCAAGGCAAAGCAGCAACAGCTTGTTGCAATTAGGTGCGTGGTGGCTGCCTGACATGGCAAGTTACTCCATCTCCCACGTCCCTTTGGGTCACATTTGCTCCATACTCCCAGGGGTAAGTCTTGTCTGACAACTGCCTCTTGCTCCTGCTCTGTGACGAGGGGGCTGAGCTGAGGTATGAATGAGAAAGATGCCATAATTGGGAAAAAAAAATCAGTTATGTACAGCCACCATCAGCACCTTGAACGAGGCTTCTTGTGCATCACGTTGCCGGATGAGGGCTCCGGGCTGTGTTTCCAGGTCCTTGGGCAGGTGAGAACAAACCAGTCTTCAACAATTAAGCTGACAGCAAACCTCAGAGCCCTCCTGCCACGGGGGGGGTTGGTTTGTTCGTTCTGTCGCCGTCGCTGTCTCCCCTGTGCCCGGCGGTTTATTCAGCACATTGTTTTGATCTAAGGATAAAGAACGGTGAGGTTATTTGCAGAGACCCAAGGCCCACAGGATCAATATTTTTGCAAGCTGCTTGTGAACTCTACAAATACACTGTTGTTTAAGAAGGAAGCTACATCAGTGAACTAAGCAAGAGTAACCAAATAGGGAATCCGGGTTTTAGTGTAGGTACCTATAAAAACTAGCCCTATCTGCTCCAATTTCTAATAATTTTCCACCTAAAAGCACATCAGGACCTCAAAGTTTGCAGACTACTTTGGTCAGAACAGAACATCAGCCCTGACACAAAAAATAAGCTACCTTGCGCCAGTAAAACAAATGTGCCCACAGCAGTGCAGTATACGAAAACAAAGATGAGTGCTGCTTTTTCTCAAAAATATTCCAGAGTCATCCTAAATGAAAAGAAAGTTTTACATGTAGAAAGCTCCATCTAAGTTGCAAGAAAGAGTTGGTGATAGAAATCAGTGAGGTATACAGTTATTGCTGGCACAATAAGCATGAAAAAGCATACCAAAAAACCCCACAGATCTAAAATGGGAGGCCGGGAAAAAACAAACAAGGAAAAGTAATTAACGTATAATGCTGTACCTACACAGCAGAATTCAAAACAGTGTAGCTAACAGACATTTCTTGAATTTCATTGCATGTCTACACCAATGAAATTAAAAAAAAAAAAAAAAAAAGTTTAAGTTTATTCTCACAAAGTACTACCGACCCAGCACATGCACTCAGGCTGCTCAAGGCCGCAAGTGGCCTCCAGTAAGAGTTTCAGCTCCAGTACAATCCCGTAATGTATTTTTGTAGCACAAAACCTACAGTTAGAGAATAAATGACATCTTAACAAAAAAGATTTATTCCACCTAAACAAAATGTACAAGGTTTCTCAAATGACAGTGAGTTTTCTTGACTCTCTGAAGCCAGCAGATCCATTGAATAACTCGATCCCTTTTTCCAGCAGCTTGATCAAACTATTTTTTGCCAGACTTCTTGATTCCACCACTAGCTGCCAAAAGAAACGACGCAACTGTTTAGACAATTGTTTCAGCTTAGTTACAGGTTTGGTTCCTCAGAGACGATTCCCCACTAGACTGCCTGCACCACTCACTTCCCCCCGGTACACTTTAACTACACTGCTGTTTGTTTGCATTATATTCCCAATTTACTACCTGAATTTTTTTTCATGTGTTACGCTTATGTTTTTGATCACACATGCTTTACTCTGAATAAATCACTTCCCGTTAGAAACCACCTTTCTCCTGGAACCAAATACACCCCTTAGATTTACAAAAGAGCTAAGTATTTCAACAATTCCTTTGCGCTTCTGAGGATACCCTCCATTGTTTACTTTTTTTTTTTAGCAGCAGTAGAGTCACAATGAAAAAAAAGAACTCGAATTAGCATACGTTTCTGATTGTCTGGTTCTGTTCTGCTGAAGCAGTTGGGCTGCACAGCAATAACAGACAAATTTCACCCAGTAAGCGCAAGGGAAACGAGAACGTATATTGGAAGGCTTGGTTAATGCCATGTTAAGCCTCAGGCTTTTTCCTCCTCGTTCATCATGTATGAGGAAGAAAGCAATACAGTTACATGCTCAAGGGCAATTGCTGACCAATCCATAGTAATTACAAGTCAGTCCTTATTTCTGATTTATACCTTTCTGTTTGGATTAAATAGCTGCCATTCTGCCAGAGAGGCAATCAAGTGAATAATATTTGTAATTTCCTGATCATGCCTGCTTGTCAAATTGTATTTAAGACTATGGGAATAAAAGCATCAGTATTCCTACAGGAGTCAGAGTCCCCAGTTGGGCTCAAAGCTCTACTGAAGCAGATACTAGAATTACAAGAGCATCTGTTCTGTGTAGTCCCAATCATTGAAGAGACTAAAGCAAGGTGAAAGAACACTATATTAACACACTAAGAAGTGCAGTATATTTTGTAAATGCTGTTTTTTACAGCAAATGTAGTACATCATCAGTGGAAAAGAGACAAGAGTATCAAGATAGGCTACAGGGGCTGGCAGGCAACAGTGGACTGTGTGCCCTAGTATAGTCATTCTAACAGCGTTGCCTTGCTCAGCCTCTTGGGAATAGTCTAGCCAACACAACAATTTAACGATCATTATCTGCTTTGGCAAGCGTTGTATTTCAGTCATGTGGTCCTCATCCAATCTAGAAAAAGGCAGAGTAATAATGGCAGTAAAGTACTATCAAGAAATATGTAAGTACGCACAGCTGAAGCGCCCTTTACAGAACAAGTTTACAGTGGTAAGGCCACAGAAAGGAGGCTCAGTGAATTTTTTGCATTAGTCTGTACTATAACTATCATTACAGCCACAGCGTCAGAGGGCTCATGGACTGCCCACGCTCCCAGATACAGGATTCCAGGAAGGAACTGGGAACCTACAGACCAGTGAGTCTAACCTCCACCTCAGCCAAGACAGAAGACTCCACGACAAAGCAAAGGGATTAAACAGACTTTTGAAAGTTAACGAGGCTTGTGTAAATGGTAAATCCTTCCTCGCTAACCTGCTGGAACTCTGTGAGGGTATCATTAACCATGTAGCTAGAGGGAATCCAGGGGATATACTATTTTCAAACATTTGACAAGTTTCCATAGCAAAGGTATTAGAGAAAGTAAGTTGCTGTGGGAGCGCTAGAAAGATTCGTCTAAGACCTTTTAGGGATTGAAGGCTTGCTAAAGAACAGGAAGCAAACAGTAAACTGGAACGGTCTTTACAGAATGGAGAAGATTCAGCAGCCGGGTCCTGCAAAAAGCAGCGCTGGGATAAGTTTTATTGAACATCTTTGTTAGTGACCTGGACAACAGAGCAGACAGTGGAATCTCCAGTTCTGCAGATCATGCTAAGCTCCTGTGGCTACTCAAATGCCCCACCAATGATGAGGAATTTCAGAAGGACTTTACAACAAAGTGCACAAAAAAGCTCCAACCATGCTCACATGACACTGAAGCAGCAGTTACGACTCGGGAATGAACTGTCATTCATCGATTACAGAGCTGTGAAATCATCTGAGTGCGCAGCAGGAAAAAAGCCAGCAAAAATTGGATGGCATTAGGAAGGATACAGAGGTCATTTTTTCACCACTGTGTAAAACCTTGTTGTGTAGCCATCTTGCGTACTAAGTGCAATTTGGTCTTCACATCTCAAGGATGCAGTATGATTAGTGAAGACACAGGGAAGGGCAGCTGAGATGACTATGAGGGTGCAGCAGCTGGCTTTCAAAGAGAAGCCAAAAAGGTTCAAATTCTTCAGTCTCGAGAGGAGAAGACTAGGAGGGAATTTGATCAAGGCTTACAAAACTGCAAGGCAGAAGGGAAGGAAAACACAGAACTATGATTCACAAAACCCTACAATAGCAGAATTGGGGTCACTCACTAAAACAAGCATTTACTTTCAGAAGACTAAGCACATAATGGGTTATGAACTTCTGCAACTTGTTGCCACGAAAGGCTGTGGAAGCAGAACATATCACTGGGTTCAGAAGGGAACAATCAAATTGATGGACCACTAGTCAAAAACATACCTAGAAGGAATGGGCAGGGATGTACCCTTTAATGTCCCTAATGCTATAATTGCGAACGATGGAGTACAAGGCAAGCAGACACACTCACATGCTCTCCATTAACAGCATCTCCTACTCTCACTGTTCAAGACAAAGACCAGACTGACAGTCCAGCTAGCCTAAACCGCTGCAGCATTACTGACGTTCTGCCTTGCTTCTAACTGATGTGGACAAGAGTACTTCATCGCATCTCCTCCCAAAGTAGTTTCTCTGTGTGAACTCTACGCAACGCAAACATACAGCTATATGCCTGAGCTGCGTAGAAACAGAGTTTGGCAAAACACTCTTGTCACAGAGTGTATTTTGCAGTCACTTAGGCAAAACAGTTGAAGCCAGACTAAGTTACGAGTCACAGTCTTTTTCTGCCAGGAATCTTCTGCTCTTGAAGAAATTCATCCTCTAAGAGAACAATGACTGGATTTGTTTAACATTCAGGACTGTAGCAAAGCCTATGTGCGTCTTAATTTATCTGGAAAGAAGAGATTGAACGTGCTAAAGGAAGGGCGAAAATGCCTCTGCAACAGCCCCGCTCAAAGAAGTCAGCTTGCCAAGCCTACTGTTGTACCTGTTAAACCAGAGCCCGTATCAGTGATTTTGGGGTGAAACTACCTATCAAAAATTAAAAACAAAACAAAACACCATTTGTTACTTATCATCTGCAGCTGCCATCAACTTAATGATGTATGTTAAATAACTTAGAGGTACATGCCTTTTATGTTTGTCAAGACAAAACATTAAATTTCTGAAGCCAGCCAGCCCCTCAATTTTTCCTATCATTATGGCACCTCACTTACTGAGGGGCCCTTTTCCAGCAGCTTTTGCTTTCATCTCCTCAAGTTTCTTTTGCTCCTCCTTCTGCTTTTGTTTAAATGCCAGATCTGCCTAAAGAAAAGAACAACAGTGTTTGTTAACATCTCCTCTCAAGAAAATTCAGAAACAACTGACAAGCAGCTAGAAACAAACATAATGTTCTAACAACAATAAAACCTAACACACTAAACAGAAGCAGGATGGCTGCATACTGTTAACTATGCAAAACCTTTCAGAACAGTGAAAAAGTTTTTTTGCTGTACCAGAACACAGAGCTTTAACTCTGTGTGCATCTTTCTGAAATTAAAGAAATATCATTTCCCACACCGTAATTTTATTCTGCCTTCTGAATGACAGATATTTGCACTAAAAGCATGCATTAACGTGCTGCCACTGAGACCAGAAACCTAGCACATGAGCGTTGTCTAACAATAAAACTAGGGTTCAATAGAGCATTACAAAGGTTATTTTTTACCTTTAAAGTATTTTTTAAAATCCTTCCACAATATGTTATTATTTTTGCAGTTTTCCTTTAAGGATTCTTCAATAAGTTTCTATAATTTATCCCACACTTATTCCAAGAAAAGTAATGAGACTGCTGACAAATCCTACGTGAGAGCCAGTTGTTGAACACCTCTGCCTGAACTGCCCCCAGAATTCAGCAGAGCTGACGCATACTTGATCCTTTAGATAAACGCTCTTCACAGACCACAAGGCTGAAAGGGTCTCTAGTCCTCTCGCTTGGTGCTCAGGATTTTCAGGTACCTAACATGAGCATCTCAGAGAAGTGAGATTCTACCGATTTCCCACTAACCTCGTCCATGGCTCAAACGCCTTTACAACTGGAAAGATTTCCTCTTCTTTAATCTAAAGCTTCCCTTTCTACAAATAAGCCTATTATTTCTTCTCTTTATGTCGCACACAACAGAAGAGCCTACTTCTCTCTGCAGGTTTTCCCCTTGGGTTTCTCTTTTGTAGACTAAGGTCTTTCCTAGTAAGTCATTCTGTTCCATTCATCCACTTTTTCTTTTTAAACATACAATGTGATGCCCACATGTGTTTGCAATACTACAAGGAAAAAAAGATTACGTTGTATGTTTGACACATGACGCTTTGTTCAGGCATCTTGTATGATTTTTTTCTTTTGCAACACCCGATTTTGCTGATTCATGTTCTAACAGTAGCATCTAAGGTATGGTCTAAGTCTCAAAGTGCAATACGGTCTAGATCATGTGGACCTGCAGCTTAGCCAGACATTCTCCCTGTATTTTACAAGATGATTATCCTTACCAAGAAAAGGGACTTAGCATATATGCTTGATTAAATACATCGAGAATTTTTTCAAACGTTCTCCAATTTGAGATTACTTTGTATACTAATCCCGTCCTCTGATGGTCTGTGGCCCCTCCAAATTTTCTGTCGGCTACCAAGAGAATAAGCAGCACTGTCGTTAAGTTAGTCAATCAACCAAACCAGCAATTAAAATGTTATTAGAATTTGATGCAAGACAAAAATCTTGCAAAACCCCACTCAATATATCCTTGTGATCAAGCACTGAATTGTTAGTAACTGCTTTTAGAGTGTGACATTCCAGCGAGTCGCACGCTCACCTCGCATCATTTTAAGCTTTTTCAGAACGCGTTCCTAACCGGCTTTAGAGAACGTTATGTGGGTTACCATCAAGAACCTTGTATCCACTGGTTTTCGTCTCATGCACGTAGCGTTGCCCCTCTATAGAAAAAGAATCTGCTTGGGTTTACCATGGTTTTACTAAAACCCACGCTGGCTACTCCTCTTTATGTTGTTACAACCTCGATGCTTGTAAGCGTTTCAGTTGGTTGTAATATTGCTCTAGCAATAGCGGTGAACTCATTTCCAAAGCTATAGGTTTCTTTTCCCTTTTCAAAGGGGCGACGTATCTGCCCTTCCCCAGCCACCGCTGCCTCATCCATCCTTCACGGCTCTCAGAAATAACAGCCTCAGTTTCTCCCTGAGCCGCTGCCAATCTCAGGGTCCGAGGCTGGCTACGTTCAAGTACCGTTAACTTATTCAAACCAGTCGATAATCTATTGCTGTCCTGCCCTGTCTTCACGGCCCCGCGTTAACTGGCGAGACTCCAGGCGGCGGTTTGCTGCGGCTGCAACAAGGCCG